AAGTAGTAAAGTACTGCTGACTCTCAGCTACCTCTTCTTGCTCTATTTTTAACGGAAAGCTGAGAAGATGACTGACTCCAGCTGACCCAATGAAGCACGGATTCAGTCTGTTTTAATGATGAATTCTGCTGTTCAGTGAGACAGGATAATTCTGAGATAAATCAGTTCCTCTTTCATGTTTGTGCTGCTGCTTTTCTCCCCCCCAAGATAAATGGTTCAAACAGGAGCTTATTCTTCTGGTAAGTGGGTGTGTGTATTCAGATTGGGAGGTCATGTTGCTGTCTGCTGCCTTGCAGTTGGCTAATGTGGGAATAGTTCTAATCAATCATATAAGAGCAAAGAAAAGGATCTTTTAGACCATCAAGTCCCTCTTCCAGTTTTGTGTATCCTAAGAAAATTGTTATCCTGAGAGATGATATCACAGGGGAAAAGATATCTAGCGGTGAGGATATGCATCTGAAATTGTACCTTATCACTTACACATATGGCTCAGTACTATGCTAATTCTTCCTTTGTCTAATGCTGCTTTAGCTCTCAAATGGAGGTTTAAATCAGATATATTTATGGCAGTAATGTGTGTGCTTGTGTAAATATTTCTGCAGTTGCCAGATTCAGTTGCATTACAAATGTGTGCTGTGCTTTTATATAAAAATGTTCTAAAATTTTCTAAACCTATATTAATGTTACATGGTTGAGATTGTATTGTAAAGAAGAAACAACATTTCAGGTAATTCTCTAAAAAACCTGTAAGCAAAGGTGAACTATCCAATCAATTTAAAATTAAAGGTGTAATGCACAACACAGAGCTAAAAAAGAATCCACTCTTAATATGTTTCTGTCTGTTAAGTGTGAAAGAATGGATTATTGACAATCTTTTATCTTCTTGAAACTAAACTGCTGAAAGTCACTGTAGCAGAATTACCCATCTGAAAAGTAGGAATGGAGGCAACAGAACCCCGTGACCGTTGCAACCTGCTGCTTGCTCAGTAAAGGACTGTTTCTTGGGCTTCAATATTACAGCGTCAGTACCACTGAGAGCACTTTTCTAATTTGTGTTCTAACTAGGTACCACTTTCCAACGTGTGATTCCTGAGAATGGGCTGGCCACTCATGAACCACATGAGGTCAAGCGAGTGATTTTCTGCACAGGAAAAGTGTACTATGATCTTGTGAAAGAGAGAAAGAATCAAGACCTGGAGAAACAAGTAGCTATAACCAGACTGGAACAGGTGAGCTCCCTGATCCTCAGAAGACAGAGTCCTTGAGGAGACTCTCTGCAAGGGCTTCCTATGCTTTTAAATAGGTAACGCCAGAAAGGATGGTGATAGCATTTTTATAGCACTTTGCATCTTACAAGACATTATCTAGTTCTTCATGGCCTGGTGGAGATATCAATAGTATACTGGACAATGAGGTCCAGAAAGCTTGATGACTTTTCCAGAATAATGTAACAAAGTGAAGGTTACGATATGATGGCATCTTAAATTTGTATATCCAATCTGCTAGGTTTAAATGTTGTGAATAGTACACTTTGCAGCTATATTGTCATTATCTAATTAAGGACTTGTATTGTCACAGCTACTAGAAAAACTGTAGAAAGGCAGGAGATCTGACTATAATACACTTCTGTTCATACTGGTACAACTATAAAATATGTGTGTATTCACTTCTGACAGCATGAAATCAATTAAAGAAATATGAGTTATTTTAAAGAACATATAGCAATTATATTAGGTACTAAATGGTTAATTACAATGACTGGTTGTAATACCCAATAGGTAAAAGACTTTCTTACTATGGACTAACACCATGTAAGAGAAAGCTTTGCCAGTTATTACCCTCTCTTTCTAGATCTCACCATTCCCCTTTGACCTGCTGAAAGAAGAACTTGAGAAGTATCCAGGTGCTGATCTGGTTTGGTGTCAGGAGGAACACAAAAACAGTGGATACTATGATTATGTCAAACCTCGTTTCCGCACTATTGTGAACCACACTCGACCTATATGGTATGCAACTTTAAACAATTTCTCTATCTCCTGGGCTGATATGTTTGCTTTTAAATTTGGTTGAGTTGTTGGTTTGTTTTTTTCTTTTAAATTTATTTTTTATTTGAGGAAGTTTTCATGGGGAAGTCAGTCACAAATCAAAACCTCTGAGTTTGGGTTCATGGGTGAAGGAGGGAAAAGTCTAGATTACTATTTCTGAAATACATCATGGATATATTGCTCCTCCTTGTAGATCTAAAAGAAAACCAGTAGCAACTGTCTTTATATTGCCACTTAGCACAGCACTTAGCTCTCCCGGATTTTTCTCTCTTATTGTCTAAGATTCTGTCTTTTTTAAGAATTTCACTCCAAATATTAGGAAACAGTTGCTGTAAGAGCTCAATCCAGGTACCTTTGCATTTATTTTAGATGATTGACTCTCAGATCTGCCCATGCAGCTGTCAGAGGAATGAGAGTCTTCATTGCCAAAAGCAAGTTATCTAATTATGAGACAGTGTAGCTGGCTGTCCCGGGAGGGATGGGGGAGAAGACGCAGCTTAATATTGACAGAAGGGGGAAAAGAGGGGGAAGCGGACCAGAAGGTATAACTGATGGTGCAACTTTGATTGTTATTTAAGAAAGATTGATGATTAAATGTCCAAATCTGCCAAGCTGACTTGAATGCATGTAGCAGCATGTTCTCATGCTTGTTAGTGCCAAAAGAGTGTCTCTTCTCACCTCATTTGACCGCCCAATTCTTTTTGTCACATAGGTATGTTGGCCGAGAGCCAGCTGCTGCAGCTGCCACAGGCAACAAGAACATGCATCTGGTGTCGCTCAGAAGGTTCTTGGATACAGCTTTCAACCTGGAGGCCTTTGAGGGAAAAACATTCTAACTGCAGGGCACCGACCCATCTCTGTCTAGTAGTCTCTCAAATCACTTCATCCGAAAGAGGAAATAAAAGTGGGGAAAATACTGGAAAATATATATTTTTGCTTTACCAGATAAAATGATCCAGCAGCTGACTTGATTAATCTGCACCTTGCTCCCCAGTTTGTAAGGAAAAAAAAAATAATTCCAACTCACCTTCCACCATTTTTTGTCACTTGTCTATTTAGGTTGGGACCTCTTTGGCTCAAGGAGGGTGTCCTATCCAAGAATGCAGTGTCTAGCTCAGTGAGACTCCAGTCTCGGTCTGTGGGCACTGTAATCACTGTAAGTAAGCAGAGCAGGCATGGACAGCATGACAGTTATGCACATCCCTGAAAAAGAAGAGAGTACGTTTGGGAGCCACTAAGGAAACAAGGTGCATTGTTGCAAGGAAAGTGGTTGACACTTATTTCTAGATGTATCGGAGAGAGGTAATGAAACCAAAAAGCAAAGAGTTGATAGATGACTTTGGTAAAGAAATGTACTGGCTGTGGTGATTGGAAGGAGATGGTAAGGTAGCCTGGCGATGTGAGGAGCAGGCTGGAAATAGGGAGTCAGGTTACAAAGTTGCTGAACTATGGGTGGTAACAAAAGTGATGTGAACCACTTAGGTATAAGGTGGAGGAGGAGGATGAAGGCAGAAATAAAAAGGACCAAGAAAAGGTTTGTTGGGGATGGTTGAGGAGGGAAGAAGTCTACACAAGACCACAGCTGACAGAGCAGTGGGTGATCAGCATCAAATGACCTCAAAAGTAAGAGGTGACAGCACCAATTGTTCCCACTCCCTAGGCTGCCTGCTTTGATGCTCTGGTATTAGGGAACTGTGAGATCCTGTGAGCATACTCATTTTGGATGAACTCTCTCCCTCACCACACTACTAGGATCTGCTTTACTTTGACCTGGTAGCACGCATAAAAAGATTGTGTTTGGATGAGAAGTCTGTGTTTGTGCAGCAAGTAGTGGGTTCTCTGCTTTGTCCAGTGCTAATGCCTGCCTCAGATCTCCTTGCTGGTATTAATTCAACTCTGAAGTGGCAATTCCTGATTTAGTCACCCTTTTTTATGTTAAGAGGAAGGTGGGCAAGCAACAGTTGCTGATTGACCGAAGGGTACATGCTGTGGTTTTGTACAAGCAGCAGTTGATTATTATTTTTTTGTCCCTTGTGTTTACTTGTCAATTAGGATGTCAATTGCCATGTACTTTCAGTATGGACATAAAATGAACCTCTGTGTAAGGCGGCTGATGTATAGCAGGTGCTGAAGGGGAGGGAACAGCAGGGCTTGTTCCTCTTCTCGAGACATAGTGCTTGGCTTCCTGGGAGGCACTGCACAGCAGAGTGGTCTGAGTGCCTCTGCTTGTGCTTCCTCCGCAGTGCTAGAAGGCAGGGCGGCACTGCTTTCCTCTCCCCTCTTAATACAAGAACTAGCATTGGCAGAAGTCCTGTTCCCTCTGCCCCAGGAGAACTTGGGTCTGGGTGAATCTTGTGACTGCAGATTTCTGCAACACTGGACTGTGTAGTGGCAGGAGACTTCTTCCCTTCTTTCTGCTGGCTGGCAGAGGGAACGGCTCAATTAAGAGTACGTGGTGTAGTAGGATGCAGAGGAATGGCTACACCTGTGTTGAAGCAGGAAGCAGTAACTAGCTGCACAAGGGCCCTGTGCCCATGCAGTGCCTGGAGGGTTAGGCTAGATCTGCTGTACAGCCCCTTTGATATGTCATAGCAAGTGACTGGAAAACACATAGATGAGACTTCACCCCCATCTCCAGTTCCCTGTCCTGAGCGTGCTCCTGGGACATAGTCGTGTTCTTGGCAGTAAGTTTTACCCTGCTGCTGCTGTATTGGCTGTGACATAAGGCTTGACAGTTTATGCCTGATTCAGAGAGTCAGGTGATGCTGGAAAGCTTCTTGTCTCACCAAAATAAAAAACTGTATTAAAAACTTTTAGCTATGATCAGGTACTACTTGTCCAAGCAGATTACCAAAAAGGGATATGTGTGCCTTATGCTGTCTCTTTATTTGGCCTGGAGACAACATGATGGTGAAAAAAATAATCCTTCTGTCAGAGCATAAAATTGTTGTGGTAAGGTACTTACCATGGGATCCAGAACCAAACGTAGTCTAATGTTCGTGAAACTCAGTAGCATCCTTTTAAATCTGGCTGGTTGCCTTGGGCTTTTTCTCTCATTGAAAGAGTGAAGCTCATTTAGTCTTTTGAAACCTAACGAACTTGGAATGTACTGCAGTTGACAGCAGCAAAGATTGTCTCCTGTCCATTTCTGTAGCTCAAAACATTAAGTTGATAGGCAGTAACCATCACCCATGTCTTTTAATGTTTTTATGAATGCTTGTTTCTGTGGCAAGAATTGAGTGCTGCTAAATATTGCTGGCACCGTTCATTGTATTCAGTTTGCATAAGGCAGGTCAGTGCTGCATGAAATATGATAAATGCATTTATGCCGCAGTATATGCAGAGGCAGAAAATGAAATTACATAGAAATTTAAGTAGTAAATGACAGGTTTCCTTTTTCATTGTGTATCATAGATTGTGGCATAATAATTGCATAAAAATTCCATCAAAGAATGTAAAAAACCCAATAAAATAAAAATATGTAAAAACAAATTTCTCTGTTACGGCTGTTGTTTTTGACAGTTTCTCCTTTGAGTGCTGGCATTAGCATCCCATTGGTAAGAGCGCTAAGGCAGCTCATTTTTCCGTTCCCTGTTTGTTTCCTCAATAGTGGCTTATTTAAATATAGTAGCAGTGAGGGAGACAGTATTTGGACTAGAAAAAGATAATTATTCAAAACCATTGGGTTAAAAGTAATAATAGCATTGAGGTTATATTAGAGTATTTTGTTTTATCCTATTATCATTTTTTAAAGTAATAAATGAACACCCTTGTAGTTCAAGCAGAATTTTAAAATACTGGAACTAGACTGGAATTAACTTCTCTAATTTCTAAACACTGAAATTCATTTCTCTTAACATGTTGGCTCAACATATGTTTCTATTGAATTATTTTTCCTGTTGCCTGCACTTTCAGATAGTAAATGTTCAAAAGCTACTAAAGCATTATAAATTGCTAAATGCATAGATTATACTTATTTGCAGAATTCTGCTGCTTTTCTTCAACGAGGCCCCTTGAATAAAAAACTCTTACAGAGAGTTCTTAAATAGATGCACATTATATAGGTGCATTATCAACAATGAATGCAAGTTTCTGTAATGGCAACTTTAAACCAGATCTCTCTGATCTCACAGAAAACAAATACTTTGTTAGAACTAGCTGACAAGTTAAATACTTTTTACATACTAAATAGCTATCAATTAATCTTTGTAGAGTGTTTGAAAAGGACTGAAGTATTATATAAGCCTCTTCTGCAGGTAGTCTGCACTGAAATTCAAATCACAGCTTTGTAACTCAGAAGGAAGAAACAGCAAATTTTAGAATCAATTGACTTCATCGTATGTGCGGGTGAGGTACCACATCGTGCTTGCCCACAACAGCAAAAAACTTGCAAAGACAAACAGCTCCTGTCACAGAATTATTTTTATTTCCTAGTAGCTACCTGATGAACTGTGCTAACAGCAGGGGTGCGCTTGGTGGAAACCTTTGCTCTACCTGTAGTACAGTTGGAGTCAGTCTGCTAGAGCAGAGGAGGAACCCTTCTCCAGAAAGGGAACCATTCTACGTGTTCTAGGAGGTAAAAAGTAATGTATGAGACTAGACAAGAAATGGGAAGGTGTGGGCATTGGTTGAACTGTGTAGATGAACGTGTGTGTTTGGGTTTGTGAGGGGTTTTTTGTGAGCTTGTTTGTCGGTTTTTGGGTTTTTTTTAAAGAACCCCTTGGCTGGACTCTCTAGCCGCTGTCTTAAGAGCTCTAGTAGCTCTTACCTTGGTGCACAAACAGACCAGCTGCCTCTGATACAGAGTTGGGAACAACTGCTGGTAATAATAACAAAACGAAAGCTTGGGAAACCCTGCTCTACACACACATGTGCACTCATGTCAAAAAATCAGTCTTTTTGATTGCTATTAATCTTATGCAGGTGTCACAGACTTGTTGCTCAGTCTAGCTTTTTGCCAGTAGCACAGATTAGTTTGATCATTGTTTAAAACGTGAAATCGAGGCACACTCAAAAATCACGTAAAGCAAGAATGTCCCTAAAAGCAGATGCAGTATCTATGTAAAGTTAACAATTCTGGTCAAAGATGAAGCAAAAAAAGTCTGCTATCATCTTGTTGGTTTGGTGAATTCAGTATGTTTTAATTTCACAGGCAACTGCTCAGGTTGGTGCTAGGGCTAATGAGTTACCCAGTACAGGTGACTACTTAATTATGGCTGATGGGACTGGCCAAGCAAACCCTGCCTGTCGTTAACCAGTTAAAGCCCAGGGTTTGGGCCTAGGTGGCTCTTCTCTAGCTCCTTTCATCACCCCCTCAATACTTCACCTTGTTTTCCCCAGCGTGGTGGGCTGTGGCTGGGCCCCTGCAGTGGGTCCCTGCATGGGCTTCTGTGGGGCATTGCTGGCTGTTCCTGCCGTAGGAAGGATGGAGTTACACTACGGTGAAGGAGGCTGAGGCTGGCTGCTGGGAAAGGGGGCCACAGGCTCCTGGCTGCTGGTGCTTTCTATGGGCAGGTAAGAAACCTGGCTGGTGGGAACTGGGTAGGGGTGCCTCGTCCTGCCCTTGGGATGAAGGGAACACTGTCCTTTGAATTATTGTCAGAGCTTCTGAGAACTTCAAGGCCTAGAGAGAAACTCACAGCGTGGCTGGGGATTTCTGTTGCAAGCTACTGGCAAAAGCTGCTTGGGATGTATTACTGCTAGTTGCAGTGCAAAGTGCAGTGAGGTTTGTTTGGAAAAGGTGAGGAAACCTTTGAGTGAAAGATGGTAGAGAAATACAGTTTTGTTTAAAAAAAAAAAAAAAAACAAAACACAAAAACAAAAAAACCCAAACCCAGGCAACAACAACAAAAAACCCCCAACAAAATAAAGCCTTTTAAAATCCCTTGTCCTTCCCTGGGTGGAGGTGAAGAATGACCTGCCTTTTGCCAGGCTGCAGCCATTATCCCCAGGTGAGGTCTGCTGGGTTT